GATTATAAATTGTACTGAGATCCTCAAGATCTGAAATACACAAATTGTTTTAGTACTGTCAAAGGAAAAAATTACAACAAATTTAGCTTAAAGATCTCAATTGGCTTTATTCGTGATTCTAGAATCAGGCAACACTTCATTCCATAAAATAGAATAAGTTGTTCCAATGAGCTGAGCAGAAGGAGTTGGTTTTATAGATGGAAAAGTGCTAAATAAAGGAAAAACAAAGAACAAAAAGCGAATTGGTCATTTCAAAGTTACCTTCCTTGCAAGGCTGGAATAGAAAAACAGAACAGTAGAAAAATAACTAATTGGCTAACATCGGGTTACTTCCGGTTACTTTTTGTTTTAAGGATTAAAGGCAGAGAGAAACTTCATTATTACGCCCATTGAAACTGGCCTATTTAGGAAATTTGGCTGTTCTCTCTCTCTCTCTGGATTTCTCAGCAGAAAGTCAGGTAACAACTTAGTTTCAGTTTGGTGGCATGGAACTTTAGCACAAGTGACTCCATTTTGATTTTTAGTCTGATCTATTGGGACCTAGTATAGCTTAGTCTAAAAAATGGCCTACTATAATTTGTATTTAACAAATATTTTTACATTTGCTTTGATACTTACATTATACTCAGACACTACTCCTTTATAAACTTCATAGAACTCTTCAACATTAACCCGATCCATATTGAACTATATTAAAAAATAAAGCAAAACAAAACCATAAGCCAACCAACAAAAATAAGTGAGTCACACTTAGCACTCAACATTTATGATTTATTAGATATATTTTCTTTACTTTAAAATGTAAACCTAGGATGAATTACTCTTTGAAGAAAAGGCGTTATTAAAGATCAGCTCACCAATAATAATACTGGATAACATTTATTGAGTACTTAATGTGTCAAGCATTGTTCTAAGTTCTGTACATGCATCATCTCATTTAATACTCAACAACCCTGCTACAGAGGTAGTATTAATAGCTCCAATTTACAGATGAGGCTACTAAGACTATGAAGGGTTATATAACTAAGAGGGGTTACATAACCTCCCCAAACTGGTGTTCTAGTCAAAGCAGTCTGATCCTATTGATCGTGCTCTTAATTACTACATTACACTTCTCTCTGAATAAAACCTCATTCCTGATAACAAAAAAAGACTTACATGCAATGTTAATTGCAATATCACAGATTTAGTGGCACAAGAAAGAAATATCACTAAAGAAAAGTACTTCAGATTTTGTAGAGGGAGCAGAAAAAAATACCATTTTCCTCCCAAGCACTCAGAAAAATCATAGTCAGTCTGGTTCATAACAAAGTACTTACACAAGTCATCTGGACTTCCTAATAATCTTCATAAAGAATTGTAAGGGTGTGCTTACAAAATAAGTCTAGAAAGACTCATTCTTATCAGTGCTGGGTTTAAATTTAGTTAGGAACAAAATTTCATTATGTCGTAGGGTCTTAAAACCTAACACCTTAATTTTTTTAAAAAATGG